ATTTCATGTCTATAAAGGTTGCTCCTCTGACTGAAGCTCTTTCCACACTCCAGACATTTATGAGGTTTTTCTCCTGTGTGGATCTTTTGATGTGTATAAAGGTTGCTCCTCTGACTGAAGCTCTTTCCACACTCCAGACATTTATGAGGTTTTTCTCCTGTGTGGATCTTTTGATGTGTATAAAGGCTGCCCCTCTGACTGAAGCTCTTTCCACACTCCAGACATTTATGAGGTTTTTCTCCTGTGTGGATCCTTTGATGTGCATAAAGGCTGCTCCTCTGACTGAAGCTCTTTCCACACTCCAGACATTTATGAGGTTTTTCTCCTGTGTGGATCCTTTGATGTGTATAAAGGCTGCTCCTCTGACTGAAGCTCTTTCCACACTCCAGGCATTTATGAGGTTTTTCTCCTGTGTGGATCCTTTGATGTTGATAAAGGTGGCCCCTCTGACTGAAGCTCTTTCCACACTCCAGGCATTTATGTGTTTTTTCTCCTGAGTGGATCCTTTGATGTATATAAAGGGTGCCCCTCTTACTGAAGTTATTTCCACACTCCAGGCATTTATGACATTTCTCTCCTGAGTGGATCCTTTGGTGTATATAAAGGTTGCCCCTCTTATTGAAGTTCTTTCCACACTCCAGGCATTTATGAGGTTTTTCTCCTGTGTGGATTCTTTGATGTGTATAAAGGGTGCCCCTCTGACTGAAGCTCTTTCCACACTCCAGGCACTTATGAGGTTTCTCTCCTGAATGGATTCTTAGATGCGTTTGAAGTTGGTTATTTGCCTTGAACGATTTGTCACATTCGGAGCACTGATATTTCTTTCCACACTCCTGGATCCTTTGGGTTTTCCGGCGTTTTCGGAAGGATCTTCCGTCCTCCAAGACTGTTTTGGAGTCTCCGCCCATTTCCTTCTCTTCGCATCCGTCTCCAGGCAGCCGCCTTTCTCGGGGTCCCCCTGGGCTCATCCCTCCTGCAGCCCCGGAGCTTCCTGACCTTTCCCCGCCGTCTCCCGAGGAAGGCGCGCCAGCACCGGGCAGGGCTGCTCCGCGGGGCACGTTCTCCTCCTCTCGGGCGGCGCTTCCTTCCTTCCCCCGCCGGGCACCTCGGTCCTTCTGCAGGTAAGAGAGAGAGGCGGGTCACGGCGGCGTCCCTTTCCTTGCAGGGAAGGTCTTCCCCCGCCTCCTTCAATCCCTTCAGGGCCTCCCCACTCCGGAGAGACCCCCCCTTCCCGGACTGCGACTCCCAGAATCCCTGCGCCAAACCTGCTTTATCCGGGCTCTTTTGTCGCCGATTCAGGCAGCTTCCCGGTTCTCCGTTTAGTTTCCGGAAGTGGAGGCTTCCCTGTGTTTACGCTCTTCCAGGTAGGAAAGCCGAAGCTCCTCCTGTTCCTCTGAAAGGACCGCCCCAAGCCCTCCTCCTGCCAATCACCGCCCTCCCCAGAAGGGCCAATCGGCGTCCTATTTCCTTCAAAGAGCCAGAGGGCACCTGCGCATCGGAATGTCTCCTCCTAACAGGATCGGCAGGGGGCACCCTTCATTTAGAAGGACCGCCCAAGGAGCCCTCCAGCCAATCGCCGCCGACTCCAGTTTGGCCAATCAGCCCCCTCCATTTTCAGTCAGCCAGAGAGCGCCTGCGCACTGCGGACTCCCTAGTCTCGCGCGGAGTGAGGCTGGCGGCAGGGGTGATGGGACTTAGTTTGATCTGTGGTGTCCCGTCTTCCCTCCCCCTCCCCACATTCACGCAGACGGGGGTTGGGAGACCCTTCTGGGGCTCTGACTTTCCCCGCATCCCGGGTCCCCCCTAAGCAAGGGGGGGCTCCTTTTGCCCCCCTTTCCCGCTTCCTCCCCCCCAAAGACTGCTTTGCAAATCTGCAGGGGGGGATCCCCTCCTGGACACCCCTCAATATATGGACCCTCAACCTCTCCTGGCCTCCAGGAAACCCCTTGCAGCCCCCCCAGCTTCACTCCCTCCCCAGGAAGAGGGGCTTGGGGCTGGAGGTCCCCCACCGCCTTGGGGGGGGGGGGGCTTTTCCTGATTGATGCATCCAAAGGCTGGAGGGGCTCCTGGTCCTGCTGCTCTCTTGCACTGGAGCTCCTCCTCGGATGGGAGGCGATCCTGATGGAGCCCCTCCATAAGTCTTTAACCTTACATGTTCCCCATCTCCCCAATGGCAAGGTTTTTTTTTAAATTTTTATTTTATACATATAATCACATCAACAGAACACATAAACACATTAAAAATAACCACATAACTTAAAAACAACATAGGAACAATAAGTTCCATCGTATATCATACAGCAGTTCTGAATCGGTTTCTTTGCAGTTAGTGTTTTCCTTTCTATACATTTCTAACAATCAATCTCATTACTCATCCATTTTTATATACATTTCTTTATTTATTTATACTTAGCTACTTGTGATCAAGTATTATTTACCTATATCGTGCTTTATATTGTTACTGTCATCACCTCTCCTCTACCTCTCACCTTATTGTTTCTTTTTTCTCCCTTCCTTCCTTCTCTACTTCCTTCCTCCTCTCCTTCCCCTTCTTCCTTCCCTTACTTCTCCCCTCTTTCTTCTTCCT